CGGGGCGCCCCTTGCAGCGGCGGGGGGCGATGCGGAGGCTGCGCGGCGCCCATCGCGCCGCAGCGCGGGGGGCGGCCCCGGTGCCGGCTCCCCGAGGCAGGAATTTCCGCCCCCCCGCGCTGTATCCCGTGCGATTTCCTCTCCCCCCCGCCTCTCTTTTCCCCSTTTTCCCTCTTTCTGGGTCTCCAGCAGAAGAGCGAGCTCCGCTTGCAAATGAACCGAGCAGATGGGGACACGGCGCAAGGAAATGGCTCATGCAGTGACTCAGACGGTAAGGTGCTGCCACAGCGCTCCCCGCAACTTCGCCTGGGTGCTTTGCTTCTGTTTGGTGTGGTTTGGTGGGTTTTCTTGCTTTTTTTTTTATATATATATCTATATATTAATAGAATTTTAATAGATTCTTTCAATCCCTGCTCAGCCCCATGTGCCCCACAAAGGTTATATATACGGCAACGAGCGTGTGTGTGTGTGCATTAAATAATCCTGGATGCTCCTGTGCAAGTGGCCCCTTACTTTTGCACAAACCTGCTGCCCGTGGCTCGCTCGTGCGCTTAAATATAYGTGCAAAAAGGCTGCATGTGCGTGTGCCTTCCTGGCACGTGTGTGCAAAGGCGGGTGTGTAAAGTGAGCCTGCAAGTGGGGAGGATTGCCTGGAATAAGTATATATGTGTGTGCGTGCGTATATGGGTATGGATCTTTATATTAAGGGTTTTGTGCGCACATATATCTATATGCAGGTGTGTTCTGGATGGACTCGTGTATTTATGTGCYTCTCTGAGTGACAAGCACACGCGTCCAGGATGGGGCTGCGTTGTTGGGAACCTCCGTATTTTAACATGCAATTTATGGAGCTGCATTTCCACTGGTCAGAGTTTGAGCCTGCTCATGAGGCCAATGATGATGATGCCTCATTTTTAGGTTCCAGGTCATTTTAGGGACATAATTTTGCTCCCCCACTCCATTTTAAGTTTAAATGCTGTAGCTCTCAGAAAAGAAGTGCCTCTCCAAACCATGAAGTGAAAGGCTCTCAAACAGCATGAAACAGGCCCAGAAATAACAAAAGTAGCTAAAAAAGTTGTGGGACTCTGCARAAATAGTGATGTGGGGTTCCTTTCGGAACCTCCTCCTGGATTGCGCTTCAGTTACATCACCTCCCTTTCCTCCCCTGCCACGAGGTCTAGAAACTTGCTTAAAAAAATGCAAATTCATATTCTCACATATTCACATGACTCACGGAGCTGGGAATTGCAGGCAAACATGAATGCTCCTAGAAAAATTGCAGCATTTGGCAGCACGGGCAGTGACTAATCCTGATGGGTCCCTGATAGCAGCAGTTTTCGGTGCATCCAGTATTTTGGGGATGCCTCTGAGCTCCAAGCAAGACTTTGACCCTCCTTGCGGAGATGTCCACTGCTTGGGAATGATCCTGGCTGCCGTCTGGCGCCGCTGCCCTCCGAGCAGTTTTCCACGGGTCAGGAYGGTGTGTGGTTACATCCACGCCGTGACCTTCCCTTCCAGAAACCTTGTCCGGAAGATGTGATTCTGCTTAAAGAGTTGGTGTTTCTAAATGCTAAATGCTTTGGAATCCCCATCCCTGAATTACAGTTCAGGGAAAAGAAAAAAGAAAAAAAAAAAAAAAAAAAAAAAAAAAAAAAAAAAAAGAAAAGGGGGAAAAAAAAAAAAAAAAAAAGAGCAAAAAAGAGCATTAATTAGAACCAGGGAGGATGGAAGGCTCTGCTGAGCCAGAGGGGTTGGGATCGAGTGGCGGCATCACGTGCTCCTCACTCCTTCCCTGGGCAAGCGGCTGCAGTGCAAGCAAAGAAAGGGAGAAACTGCAAGTGCGGTCGATGGCGGAGCCGCCGGAGCGGAGCCCGGGCACAACCGGAGCCTGGGATAAAGCTGCCCTTGCCGGAGCTGGTGCCAGGGAAGTGTCATCAGGCCAAAGAGCAACTTTTGCTCCTCATTAGGAGTGAGCGCAGGGAGGAAGCTTTTCTCCAGGAATTTCATTGTGGGAGAGGGTCGGGATCTGGAGCTGGGGCCGGAGCGATCCCGGCAAACGCAACACACTAATTTTAAAGCTTGCTTCCCTTTATAGACAGGACCAAGACCGAGAGGTTTCTTAACCTAAAGTGCTTTGCAAACGTGTTAATTAAGCTCCTCTGGGAGATAAGTAAATTACCGGAAAGCTTTGGGGCTCCTCGCAGTCCATTGGCTCCGTCGAGCCCAACTCCATGGGATCAGGCCCCGGGGCAGGTTTAGGAACCCCTCAGTTTTGCTAAGAACTCAGCACCGCAGCGGTGTGCTGAGCAGTCCGGCCACGGGCGCTTTGCAGAGCTCGCCGCAAGCGGAATTGTTGGGATTTGGGATTTCTGGACCCATGGCACRCGGGAAGAATTGTCCCAGGCTTGCTGAAGAAACCTGGACTTGGAATTCGGATGATTTCTGGGATCTAACACGGTATTTGCCTGCAGGACTATGTGCTGCTCCTCATGTTGGTGCTTTTATATCCGTGTTTTCTGAGGAATGTCTTCTGACATYGGAGCCCCATGGCCCGCACGGTGCATCTGCAGCCGCCCGGACAGCGATGGTGACAAGGCCCCTTTGGGGACAAGCCCAAGCCCAACGCGATGCAGCAGGATGGGGCCCTGAGCCAATTTAACCCTTCTTCTTATCAGTCTAGACATCCTCATTATCCAGATAAATGTCTGATCCGGCGCTGAATCCCGCTAAGCCGCTGCCTTCGCGGTGCCGGAGGCGGAGGGCACTCACCTCCGCGACTCCCCAGCCGTTCCTGGTGCCGTTATTGCTRTTATTTAATATATGGTATTAATTCTCATTATTTGGTGGCAATCCTGTTGCAATGGAGAGGTGTGTGCTGCTCTTGGAACCCATCAAGCAGATGGGTCCCCGGTCCCCTGTGAACGGGCAGACACCCAAGGGACGGAGCTGGGGCTCCAGCGCTGCCGAGTGTGCCGGGCTCCCGGGGATCCTCTGGCCATCGGGAGCGCCCAGAACCGCTGCCCTCRGGGCTGGCAGAGGGTCCCCACAGGGCCAGGATGAGCCAAACTGTCGCCGCATCCCCACTGTGGCACCGTCCGCCTGGCACCGCGGTGGCACCGGGGGCTCCGGGGCCGCAATTGTGCTTCCTCAGGGGGAAAACTGGTTCAGATTCGGTCGTTTTGGGGCAGCGCRTGGCAACATGTGACAATTCAAGTGGCAGCTCCTAAGCCAGGGTCTCAGCGCGGTGGCCTCAGGGGACCGCTCGGCTCCGCAGTGACAAGGGCAGGTGTTTGGGGGGTGGCACCAAGTCACCCTGGGGCGAGGAGGGGGGACACGAGGGGACCCCCGCGCCGCACAAGAGCTGGCGCTGCCCCTGCTCCGCATCCGAGCGGAGCCGCACAAAGGAGCGGGCGGGAGCGGGAGCAGGGGCGGAGGGCGGGAGCCTCCCCCTGCCCGGCAGCTAATCCCGGCTGCGCTGCGCCGCGGAGCTCGGATAACAACCGGCGCGGCCGCGGCCAGATGGATTTGATTTAATAACAAAGCGGGAGCTGGGGGGCGGGAGCGGGATGGGGAGCAGGGCGGGGGCTGCCGAGGGCCGGATCCCCCCCAAGCGGCTGGGCCGGGGGAAAGTCACCCCCGTCACTGCC